GAAATTTATTTTCTGTATACAAAATGGATCTATCTCGCGCGGAAAGACTATCTATCGTGAAATTCAGCTGCTTGTAAGACTAGTCTTCGAAAAACTACAAGTTCGCAAAACACCTTGCTCAGAGCTCCTTTTCTTTCCTCGTATTTTTTTAACGTGCATTTCTTCGATGCCTCCATCTTTTGATTAGAATATACACTGCCAGGAACAAACGCAGATTCGTAGCAGCCATGCTGGATTCATGCAAACAAGTGGCGGGGAGAAGAGCGCCCTTTCAAATCATAAGAAATCTCACTACTTTTACGATACTTATGACGCTTATGACATTATGAGAACAAAGGATTTTCAAATCTTACGATCCTTAAGGCATTTTAACGATGGCGTTTTCATTTGGATTTTAAGAAACATAAGCGACACGGACTTAAAAATTATGTTTCTTATGATCGATACGATCCTCATGACTTTAGTGAAAACCAGGCTTTACCACTCGGCAAATCTAGACCCTGGATAGCTAAGTTAGAGGAATATAATCATACCGTGTAAAACGTTCGAGGAAAGGACAATGTAAAAACCGATTTTTTGTCTCGTAACCCAGCTGCCAACCCAAATCACAGAATAGAAAGAAATATTTCTATTCTGTGCCCAAATCAACCAAACTCACTCTCCGACGACTAGGTTTTCGCTACAAATAGTGACAGTTCCGCTTTTGTTGACCAATTAAAACAGGAGCAAAGTACAGACCCTGTGATAAGTAAAACTAAAAGACTCATCGAAAATGGAGAAACTGTAGTTCAGGGTAGACTCAGTGACGTGTTAGAAATCAACTTCGGGTCGAGAATGACACTGTTACAAAATCCGCTCGACCTGTAGTGCCAGTCTCAGTAAGAAAATTCACAGTGACCGAGATACATCAAATGGCCCATCTCGTAACAGATAAAACATACTCGCTGCTTGAAGACAGATTTTTTTGGCCAAATATGTATGACTATGTACATAATTTTGTATCTCAGTGTCTGATTTGTCAACAGACTATATGTGATTCGTCTCCGCCTAAAGCACCCTTACTCCCATGGCAATTCCTGAAGCACCAATGCAATTTATCGCAATTGATATCCTTTTTATGCCTAAGGATAATCACGGTTTTCAATATTTTCTCCCTATCGGTGACGTTTTCTCAAAATACATTGAAGCTGTACCACTTAAAGATCAGACGGCTCTTATTATTGCCAATACGTTGTTGTCACATTGGATCTATATCCATGGATCTCAATTTTTCATGCTCAGTGACGAGGGCTCTTTATGTTGATGGCACTACAATCAAACATACTTGTAATATCTTAGGTACCGAAAAGCGGCGATCGTTGCAAGGCAAAGGGTTCGCTGAGCGCAATACACGTAGTGTTAATGACATGTTACGATCCGTTCTACTGCAGCGAAAAGCACAACATTCCACATGGATATCCCTATCGCCAGAACTTGTGTTTGCTCTGAACGCCAGTCTTAGCAAAGCGATTAAATGCACACCATACAATGTGATTTTTGGTAGATCTGCTCGTCTTCCAGTTGACGTCCTCCTTAGTATAATGTTTTAGGAGCTGATCATAGAGAAATGTCCATGATAATATAATTACTAAAATACCAACTGTATATGAACTCCATGCATATAAAACTGAACTCCATAACAAAACACGTGTGTACGAGATTACATGGGCGGATTACATCAGGACTTAGTGTACGATACTAATTATGTAAACATTACATCCCTCCCTTACTACATATAAAATCACTAATGTTTATAAATCTTAAGAATCATTAAAATTAAATTCAACGAGTTTTTAAGCAGCGTACTTTTTTTCAATTGTAGTCCCTTATCTACGTTTATGTACAGTAAAAGTAGATATTGTTACCATCCCTGCGTACTGGCTGATGATTTCTAATCGGGTACCTTACTTGCGGTCTTTCTTCTTGATCAAGAATAACATCATTATGATCATCACCAAAATCGAAACAAATTTCTTCTGTTCCACAATTATCCATATAAACTTTATCATCAGGTAATACTTTGTGTGGGAAAAAGTGGCCGCTAGCCCCTGACCCTTGCTTTCTTTTTGACCTTTCCTTTCTATTTACAAGCTACCTTTTATTGACTTGAATTTTTTTGTATGATTTTGATTGACGGTGATTGCTGCATGGTTTTTTAAATAGAACGTGATCCAAGAGTAGAAGTATCATGAAATTTGAACAGAGTTCAATCGAAACAAATTCAAAGACATCCTCGAATAAGCCCCCACCCTAAAAACTACAAATTGTCAATAAGCCCCTCCCCTCGATTAAGCCCCCACTGCCACCGTAAATTCTTGAATTGGACCCTTCAATTTGACGATTTTTGCCATTTGAGGTTGCCTATGGCGTTTTATTGAATTTCCACAACAAATTCATACTTTTGGTAGTAATTAATTACATGCTCATAAAGAAATTCCTACTAAAATAAACAAGGTCTTTTAATAATGTCCTCTTAATGTCTACAATAGTTTTATAAGGTCCCCCCTCGTATAAACCCCCCCCCTTCGAATAAGCCCCCATCCAAAAATATCAAAAATAAATAAGTCCCCAGGGGACTAATTCTAGGATTTACGTTATGGGTTTTGTTTTATTTCGTGTGATTGAAACTAAAATTGTGTGTCGACTTTCAATTTTCTGCGAGTCTCTTTTCTTTGTGCGCAACTGTGTGAATTTTTTGCGAATCAGTTTTCTTTTCTGCGATTCGCTTCAATTTTGTGCGAATAAGATTCTTTTCTGTGCAACTCGCTTGAATTTTGTGTGAGTAGTTGTTCTGTCAACGTGAATCAATTTGTTTGAATGCGAATCTGTTTCGTTTGTATGCGAATCAGTTAATTTTAGTAAGTGGCAGCAATGGGCCACCGTATGAATGGACTCTGACGGAACTCGTTCCAACTCGCTCATCCCTTAACGCTGGGTTAGATGATGAAAACAGTGAAGAAAACATCAGTTCTGAAATCAGACGCTTCTGAAACAAAAAATTGTAGCCCCGTGTCAACAATATCCGCAACGTAAGAGACGAGCTCGATGCCTTCCTGATAACATTCCTTGGGATGCTATCATAATAAAGGGGGGGGGGATGTTGGTAGACAGCCCCGTGACTTTATTATCATGCAGTCCCTTTTATATTGTGTTCTGTTATTTTAATTCGTTCTGTGATAGCTCTTATCAGATGCGTCACTTAAAAGGGTATGGAGGGTGATTAGCCCCCCAAGAAAATAAATATGGCCTTCTCGCAGGGCAAAATCGATTTTGGCAGGGCAATTTTTTTTCCAATTGATCTGCTTTGGTGTTTTTTTTATAAATCTATAGTGAGAAGGTAGTTTACGCTTGGAAATTGCCTGTTCTAGAAGTAACACATTAAAGACTACCAGTGACACGCAATAGGAATTGCCAGTGATAGTTTGGTCTGGAGGGAATAGATTTCTGAATTGATTCTGACTTCCTTTCACTGCAGACTACAGTGCGGTCAATATTTGTGCCTTTAAAATTAAAACCATGCAGAAATGACAATAGCGTGACAGACTGGAACAAAGCACCAAACTTTTCTTGGTGATACCTAGGGGCATGGAGAACATTTCCAGAAATGATGCCGGTTTCTATCGGTTTCGGGGGGTAAGCTAGAGATAAAAATCGTATGACATCATAGAAAAATCCCCATTTTGCATTTCTAGAGATAATCTATATATGATTGTATCAATGAGGAAGATTTAGATGATTGATTTATCACTGTACATGATCCAAATGTAAAACCACTTTTTTTTGGCACATTTAAAATTTCTCAAAACCGGGGTCAGCACATAACTTTGCACGTTAATTTTCAAGCATTGGCGCCGTTGAACCTACTTGTGAATGTAGATAACTTCAATTTTAAACATAACGTGCTGAAACATAAAACATGCGACAGTGCCACAGGGATGACTCGGAGGAAACGCACGTAATTCAAAAACAAAAAAACAACGTAATTTATCATTCTTTAACAATATATAGCTTCAAACCCTCTTTAGTTTTCATTTTCCGTTATGGATTTTTCAATTTTTGGCAAGGCAAAACTTTTTTTGCAGGGCAAATATGCAGTCATCCCCCCTCCCAACAAAAAGTATGGAGTGACGCCCCTGGCTCTTATATTCCAGTAACCACAAAAAGTATTCTCTCCGAGTTTCGACTACGGTCACATCACTGTTCGACATCTTGAAATCTAGATAATCAATTAGTTTCTGATGAATAAGCGTCAAATGGTAACAGTTTCATTCAAATTTGCAAACAAAAGCAAAAATGTAATATTTAGTGTCATTCAATGTTGCTGTAGAAAAATGCACATTGCTCCCTGTTTATGGCGCGGGGTCTCGCTGTTACACTAAAATTTTTCATTGAAACTTGCTTTCTGCTTTGAAACTGTTGAGTAAGCATGATTAGAAATTTAGCTCTTATAGCGCTGAAGAGCACTTAAAGATACGGGTGGCATGAAGAAAACGGGTGGTATTTTTCAATTCTGATCTGAAAAGAAATGAATTCAGAAAAGTATTATAAAACAATTATTAATCTTACGACCTCTCGGATCAGCAACCCGTGCGGTCAAGCATCGAAACAAAAGTAGCTTTATTTCTCAAGATTTTACAATTAGCCACTCAGGAAAGTTGTTTTAAATATTCTTGTTCGTGAAATGCAATCACCTTTGAACAAACACCACAAACATATATTTAAAAACTGTCTTACAATTAATTCATAAAAATGATAAAATTGATAAAAATATCACCCCAATTTAGTAAAAAAGTATTGTAAAAGACTTCTAACTTGCTGGTAATCAAAAATCTTACCTTGAAGTCTTT